AGCGGAACCGTTCTTTAGGGTGTTGTTTCCACCCATTTCACGTATCAACAACTACCATAATTTGGAATGCGTTACACCTACAACGGAAACTGGACTTGTGCGACTGGACGAAGCCATTCGTCAATTGGGAGAAGTAAACCCACTCTTCTCCATGGTGGCTCTCAACCACACATCCCATGAACAACCTCGCAACTATCGAACCGAACTAGCGTACGAAGCTTCGCTCCACACATCGTACGTCACTGGACAACTTCATCATCAATACCCCCTTTTCAACCATCTCGACAACTTCTGGAGTAAGAAGTGCTTCAATGTCCAAATTGAGAATGAGAGAATCATCGCCATATCATCTCCTCCAGAAGCGCTGATCTACATGAGGGAAATACATTCAAGTATGCATCTTATTAAAAAAATCAGCACTTTCCCAATGGTTTTTGTTGCGAACAAAATGTTGGATTTAAGTGGAATTATGCCTCGTTGAAAATAGAAGTCAAAAACCCGCATCACCTTTTCCTTTTCACTAGTATACTGTTCCTCTGTTAGGTTGTCCTAGTCTGTACATTAATTTAGAGTGGATAATAGATAGTTGTTTCCCATTTCTTACGATCTTTCTGCACGACGCGTTCCTTTTTATTCGTCGTGATCACAAAGATCCACACCAAAAACCACTTTTCATTTGAAGTTAATTCCAGACAATTGTACGATATCATTTGCATCTCGTGCACTACAACACTTGTAAATCGTTCTGTCCGCTGTTGAGCCTTGCGCTTACGTTCCCTCCCATCCGTTCGGCGCAAATACGACCCCCTGCCCAGGATTCCTTCGTTAATCACCCTGCTGCGAAGAGCAGCACATCAATCACCCAAAAAGGAAATTCGGTACCTGGTACTTTTGGGTGCGAAGGACGGCCTCCGTACGCCAAATGAGGAGGAACGACAAGAATTCGACGCTCGCCAACACACATATTCATGAGCCCTAGATCCCATCCCTTGATAACCTGGAAATAAAGGCATTTTGATTTTAGGAAGAAAGTTCAACTAAGAATTTCGCAAATTTGTTGCTTTTAAGGTTTTAAAACCGCATCCTCAACGAGAACATTACCACAGACCTGAATTCAGTGATAGGGAAATAAAACATCTTGACAGTCGGACGTGAACACCGAAATGCCCTCCCTTTTGAAAAATTTTTTCCACGCGCACTCTTTCAAACCAGCGGTGCCTCTGCTTGCATGTTGCCATTGGGCGGGAACTCCTCATTCTGTGGTGAACCCTACTCTTCCCTGATCCTTTTGACTTCGCCTGGCTTCCTTAGGATGGTGCCGTTGTTTTCTTTACACTCTTCACCACCCTGATATCCTGAGGTAGCTCGGTGCCGAGCTTTAGCCAGTCTGAAGACGAACTTCTCTGCGTTTCTGCTCTCCAACTTCTCGTACAAGGCGTCCATCTCCGTGTTCTTCGCCTTGGCGACGGCAGCCTTAGCGAGCCTCTTGCAACTCTTGTAGGCAGCGAGGTCCTCGGGGCTCCGGGTCTTCTGCCAGCGCTTGTATGCTTCCTTCTTCTGCTTCACGACTCGCTGGACCTCCTCGTTCCAGAACCACGCTGCCTTGTCTCCTCTGATTCCACCTCGCGTCTCGTCCCAGTACCTCTTCGGCGCACTACAACACTATTTCAGTGGGCTTGCTCCATGTCTGCTCGAAGTGGCAGGCCAGTTTTCAGTACCTTGCTCTCGAGGCCTTCCTTCTCCACTCGGTCCATCACCCACAATGCGCAACAAAATTTTATCAAATGCTCACCCACCGGTCATCAACACGTTTTGAGGCGTTATTGCAGGATAAGCGGCATCTTCTAGAACTAAGCCTAGAAGGGGCAGGAAACTTCAGAAACGAAATTTCAGGTACCCAGGGTTCTCCTCCCCGGCTAGTGCCGCCTAAGGCTTAGTCTTGTTTATTTATTAATTTATCTTTTAGATTAGCTTACGTGTATTTTTTTATTTTATTGTATTTTGATTTTTTTTCTATTTTTATTTTTATTTAATCTATATTTTGGTGCGTAACATACAGCTTCTCCATCGCATCTCAATGAGGCCGCTATGCGACTTTCTATATTTATTATTTGTTTTTATTTATTTGTGCTATTTGTTATTATCTCTCTCTTTTTTTGAGCTTAGTCAATCGGGCGGGAAAATGAGAAGGGAAGAATAATGGGCGTGTTGGGCTCTCCTCATGACGATGTCCCTACCCCAGGTACCGGCGCCTTTGAGGTAAGAGAGAAAAAAAGCACCATAAACGGTCGGTCCGGATGGAAGGAAATTTCGTAATAGTATTATGCGATAGATGAGGATATGAAAACAAGGCTCACTGCGTACATAGAGTGGCGGAGAGCCCACTGGACTAGGGACAGGTGTGTAAATAACCCGAAGTGAGGGGTGTGAAATCAATTTTTTTCCCCGAAGTTCATCCTCTCCCCATCCAGTATGATTACGATGCCCATGAGCATACTAGAAAGGCAGTAGACTGAAACAAAACAAATTTGTTTTAATTCACCCACGCGAACAGCTAAACCTTCTCATCGTGCAACTGCATAGTGCTTAATAGCGTTCCTTTTTATTTTGTTTTATTTTTTTTTTTTTTTATGCGCTGAAGACCCACAACACGCACACTTCAGTTACCAGCAAAACAAGGGCTGAATTTTCGTTGAGTACACTCCATCTTTGTTTTTGCCACAAGGTTAAGGTATAACATGTTCGAGCCAGAGAACTTCCAAAAACACATCGAAAAAGAGCTTTCAGTGATCCGTATCAATTCATTTTCAGGGAGCATCCAACACTGTTTTAATATAATCCCGCTTGAGAGAAAGTATATAATAGTATGAGATATAAGGCTAAGAAAGAATTCAACAAACCTGTCCTAGTCCTAGATGAAACACAAATCTGTCTCTACTCGTGAACTCGGTTCCATTTAGAAGTAAGCCGATATATTTCATATGCAATATATCTCCCTTCCTAAAATAGTGCAAGAATAAGAAACAGATATTTCAAATATATAAGACCTTCACAACGCACTGCTACAGTGCAGCTCCTCTACCCTACACAAGCATTTAAAAAATACCTTGACTTCCTCTCGCATGGCTCTACTCTCTTCTTAATGCCAATCTGCAGTTTATCGATGTT